TTTAATGTACAGTGTAACGTACCTCTAACTCTTCAAATGTTAAAATGTGGGACAACGATTTTGGATAGTGTGGAGACAATGATCAAACACGTGGCAATGTTTCTTTAGAGGATTTTAAAAAACGTGATCTGTGAGGAGTTTGGATGGTGTGAAGATTTTGGATTGTTTCAAATTCAAAACATATGTAAAATATAAGTTTAAAAGTTTGGTGAAATGGTTGGGTGGAAGTTAATGGGGAAGTTAATGCATCATAAATTCTATTTATTAACCATAAAGGTAAATTCGCTTTTTCACTAAAGGTGGGTTCAAAATTAAGTAAAGGTGGAGTCAAAAATTAAGTTTTTTAAAAAGGGGTTTATCCAATTTGAACTATTGGTGGGGTCAAAAACCCCAATTTCCCTCGATATTTCAAGTTGTTACAGATGTGTTTGGTTGGTGATCTGAAAACATAAATTCAAACACATCTGAATGTTTGGTAGCATATTTGGAAATTTAATCTCCATTTTAAAAACTGTTCAACATGTGTTTAGTAATATATTTGTAAAAATAATGCTAGTTACCAACTAAATATTTATTAAAATCTAAAATTATATTAATTAATTTATTAACATTTTTTTAATTAACTTTGTAAGATTATTATTTTACAATTTTATATAATTTATGTTTTAATTTTATCCGAAGATTAAATGAATTTATAACATCAAATAGTATATTTATCAAAGTCTTTATCTTTGTTTAATATCACATAATTCAAAAACAATTTTTAAAAACAAACATGCCAAACAGATATTCACTAAATCTATTTGATTCGCTGAATTTGAAAATAACAAACTGGTTGTATACCAAACGGGTCGTACACATATCTAACTAATTTTAGGATGTTTATACCATTGATTTCAATTAAATAAGTTTCGTTTAATTTTAGATTATGTTGGGGTAAAATGGACTTGCCACGTGAAGAATAAAAAAAGGTTAGAATAACTAGGTCTTCTCTAAAGGATCGAGAGAATGACTAACCTTCACACTTAACCATGGAATTGAGTGGATAAACTCTCATCCAACTAAAGGTCTTACCTATATCTAGTCTTTTGGACCCGACAACCCAACCTTCAGCAATGAAATGTCCAATAGAGGAAACTACCGGTTGAATACTAGAGTAAAAGCGGTATCAGGTATTGGATTCTAGCTCGGTCTTAATACCAAAGTTGAAGTTAAATTGACTTAAGCATCAGAGTATTTGCTTCTCTTGTGCTTGTCTTCCCTAACTAAGTGACACAACTGTTCCTTAGACCAGTTTCGACTTAGACTCAACAATTGCATAAACAGATTAAGTTGGGAAAAAGTTTTTAATTTAGTAAGCAACTCTATTCATCTCATCCTATGGATGTGGATGTCGAATCTATGAACATAAAAATATTCATTAAAATGTCAACATGTTGATGCAAATTTAACATAGTAAATATATGGTTTTATTGGACTCTTAATGCTCTTGCCTTGTTAGCAATCTCAATCAACTTGTTTGAGTACTCTTTAATGGACTCAGAATCTTAGCTGCAATCATGCACAGGTCAATGATATCTTCTCTCTGAAGACGTTTCTCTCGAATTCCCTCACTAAGCCTAACACCTTCATGTCTTTAATTATCTCATCACCTTCATACTCACTTTTGAGGAACTCAAGATCTCCTTTGCTGACTTCAAGGCCATAATAATTCTTTTGAATATGGCGGGAGACACAGCTGCATATAGGCAAGCTCGAGTCTTTGCCTTCTTGGTGACTCTCTCCTTATAAGTTTTGATATGATGAATTGTTGGGTTTATCAGGAAGTGGAGCAATCTCATAATCTTGCTATATTGCTTCCCAATAATCACAACCTTTCGTGTAGTGCTAGAGTCCAGGAACCAAGTTTCATCGGTATGATGAAACTCAAGTATAGACGATGAGCTATCAAAAGGTTGTTGGGTAAAAAGGAGGCTTAACCGTATGAAAAAAGAGCCTGAGGAGAGAATATTTGGTAGGCAAGGTTTGTCATATGATACCAAACAGCAGCGAGAATCAACCTTATTATGAATAGATGTCACGAAAGCATTGTATTTGCTCCCTAACCATCCAATATATGAGCCAAATGGTTATGATATAAAATAGTCAAATGGTAATGAAGCCCCTGTAATTGTGCTATTAAGCTCACAATCCTAGCAATAGTATTGAAGTCATAAACTTTGTTTAAGAAGGACCAGATTTCAAAGGTTTGTGTTTTTATTGATATAATGAGTGGTTGGAATAGGGAAGGGAAAAGGAAATTTAGGGCTGTGATAGTTGAAGAAGATGATCATTGAGAAAAAGATGGCTTTTCCTGGATGAAATGAAAATTGGATTCATGTAACAAGAGAAAGATTTCACATTCCTTAGTTGGAAAAATATGTGACCATGAAATAAGGATTAAGTGGAACAGAATAGTCTGTACAACCTAGAGAAGAGGGATATTGAACAATGGACAATTATACCACTTATGTTAAGTGGAACAATGGTGATATGAACCAAGATGCATTAGCCTTGCCGCTAGGACCAATCACTCGTTCAAGGGCCAAACAATTACAGCTAGCATTTGATTCTCACATCCAAGCAGTAGTGAGCTCCACTAATGAACATCAAGAAGATAAAGATGGGAAAAACTTTATTCATGGTGCCAAATAAATATACGAGACGAAGATGAAACCAAATGAAGACACGAGAAGAAGATGATGGAACTTTGTATTAACAAAGTTATTATTTATTTATTATTATTTTTTTTAATGGTTATCTATCTTATTTCTAGGCCTTTTATGTTTTTAGCACAATGATGTGGGCATTGAATTTATCAATTTTYAGGTGTTTATTTTAAATTAACTATGTCACTTTTAATTGGGGGTAGTATAGTCTTTTAGCTTCCTTTGAGATTAGGGATTTAATCTTGTGAAGAGAACAATCAATTTTTTACGGAATGAATTTGGAGTGTTTTATCGTGATGACTAAGGGTTCATCAACATTGCAATTCTTGATCTAGGTTGCAAACCCAAAACATTCAAGCTAGGTTTGATCAACCTTGAGTAGGGAACCAGTTCTCCTTACATCTTGGTCTTCGATCATCAAGGTAATCCTCGTCTAATCTTCCCTTTGGATTATGGTGATATGGGGTTTTTGAAATTGACAGTTAGGGGTCCTCCTTAGGTGGAACGGTTTTTATCTACAATTTCCTAGGGTTTCATATCATTTGGTATCAGAGCTTAGACTCTAGATTGGGTATATCTGTGTCTTTGATTTTTATATTATTGTTTCTTTTTCTTGTTGAGTCTAGCACAATTATGATTTAATTATTTATTGATTCTGTAATTTTTTGGGAGGAAAAAAAAAAGGAGATATTGTGATATGCAGCGT